TGGAGATGGTACTTTTTCTTTGTTAATAGTTGTTTTCTCTCCCAACTTGCAACCTGTTATTGGTAATGGCTTCGTAGTGTTATCCCCAACCAAAATTTTTGTTGCAGCAATTGGAAAACATTTGAAGTTCTAAGCCCAGAATAAGTGGAGCGATGAGCGTTACTAATTGCATTAAATTGGGCTCTATAGTTTGAGTAGGCGCTGATTGAAGGAATTGAGTATGTTATTAATTAATCGGTCGGTCAGTTGTAAAATAACTTATATTGCAAGAGACCACAATGTCATATCCCACACAATCTTGAAATTCTGCCAAGCTGACTATGGGAGAACTTCTGTTGTCCTAGCTCGATCAGCACGGAGATGTAATTTGGTGATTTCTCTTTTAGTTTTGCCAAACACACACACATACAAAATAAGATGATGGTGATGAAGAAGAGGAGAGAGGAAGCCGGTATATCAATAGAAATTAACCCGGCCCTCTATGATTTCGATGGGAAGATGGCATGCCGCCCCCCTGAAACTTGGGCCGCTTGCAGTTTAAAGAAAATAATATGATGACCTGATTAAGCGTTATGGGGAAAACAAAAACACTGAGGCTATGTTTGGTTTGAAGGAAAAGATAGAGAAAAGAAGGGAAAGACAGAGAAACCTATACAAGATTTGTAAAGGTTTTTTCTTTCCTTTCCTTGCATTTTCCTTCTAACCAAACATAACCTGAAATTAAGAATGACAGTGTTTGTTCTGTTGTCAATTGCATTGATCTAAGCTTTGTAAAGACGTCAATAGATAGCTATCATCCTAATGGTCCAATTGTCAATGTCTTCAAATACTGCCTATATGAGATAGGAATATTTGTTCAGCAAGCTGTGGCACTCCACAATCATTCAACCTCTCAATATGGGCCCTATATCATTGGTCCTATATCCTGTTATACACCTAAAAGGGTTCCACTAATCCCAATTCTTGGTATACATGGGGCAAAAATAGTTAGAAATCTACCACTTTAATACAAAATGGCAATGTATGAATATGGCTGTAATTCAAGGCAGATAAAGTGTGGGTAAAGAGTTGGGAGCAGAAAACCTGGAGTATTAGGAAATCTATGGTCTCAAACTCCCATGCAACCCCCTTTTTTTAAGTTATTTAATGCTTTACCAAAAAGTTGCTTATTTAGATAAGCATACAACTAGCAGAGCACACAAACCTATTTAACAAACATTATACATGTAAATGGTTCTTATCATCACTGCCTTTTACACTATTTTCCTCAACTTGAAAGCTACCATACTTGTACTTGATGCATTATATAGTTTTTATGCATAAAACACTCAAACCTGTTTCTTACTTTTTGCAAGTATTACTAGGCATATTTTACAAAGTTACAACTAAGTGGTATGGAGAGAGATGAAAGGGAAAGATTGAAGTTAGGATTATTCAAAGGGCGCAGATGATGATAATATCATAATAGTCCACAAATTAAAAAGACGCCCAACAAGCCACTGCCACTTTCATTTGGTTACCGAATACATCCTCGCTTAATCTCCCTTTACAGCTCCTCCTCCCTATCCCATATATCATATTTATACCCACTTGCCACTTTCATTACCTACTTACAATTAATGCTTTATTTGTCTCTTTTTTTTTTTTTTTTCTCTTAACTTTATGTATATGTATCGTTTGGATTGGAGGCACGTAGCTAGTTATTTGTTTCGTCAATTGTTGGGCGCAACTGTGTACTGTAAGCCCAATACAGTGGATCCGAACTTAAGCTTAAATCAAAACCAATCCCCACACACCTCCTTATAATTTTAAATAATTTAACATCTTTTTGAAAAAGATAAAGCACACCAGCCGACAAGTCTAAGACAATGTAACTTTTAAATAAATGCCTTCCTTATCCTTCTCTCCTTTATTTAATTTCAACTAATTTAATTTAAGTACATGTATTTGTCGGAGTGGGAGAGTGGGGAACTATTAAAGCTTTATTAATGTCGTTTAACTACAAGTTCGTAATTTACTTGGGCTGGTCATTCGATAAGTCTTTTTAGAAAGGTATTCTGATAATTATGACAGTTAAAAGATGTATTTAACTTTTGCATTAAGATATGAGAGGTTTGAAGCTCGTTTGGTTAAAATGAAAAGAAATAAAACAAAAAAACTCTATTTGGAGCTTCTCAAAAATCGTTTGTTTCATTAAGGTGTGTCTTTCCATGTGAATACAAATAGAAAAAAAAAAAAAAAAAACACAAAAGCTCAATTCGGAGCTTCCAGAAAATCACCTGTTTGGTTAAGGCGTGTCTTTCTATACGTCTTTCCGTGTGAAAACAAATAGAAAAAAACGCAAAAGCTCCATTTGCAGCTTCTCAAAAAGTACTCGTTTGGTTAAGGTGTGTTTTTCTATGCATCTTTTCGCATGAAGGCAAATAGAAAAAAACGCAAAAGCTCCATTTGGAGCTTCCTGAAAAGCACTCGTTTGGTTAAGGCATGTCTTTCTATGCAAAGATTAATAGAAAAAAAAAAAACACACACACACACACACACACACACACACAAAAGCTCCATTTGGAGCTCCTCAAAAATCGTCCGTTTTAGGTTTCTTGTGTCTTTAAGGTGCATTGGCTTTTAGCAACTAAATCTACCACGAACCAAACAGGAAAAGACCGAATCATGATTTGTTGAACTGGTAAATAACCAATAAATCATGCGAAAAGACGCGCCAAATGGGGCTTTCGTAACTTTTGGGGTTTAATATCAATAAAAGTAATATATTTAAAAAAAAAATTCAAAAATAGGTTAACTTTTTAAAAATAATATCAATAAAGGGCAAAAACACTATTCATCATCTTCTTCTTGCCATTTGTTCACCAGAGTCGCCGCCTTCCGCTCACCTCCACCTCTGCCTCCGGCTTCAGCAACGTTGTCGGAGGTGGCCGGAGGCAGAGGCGCTGGTGGTTTCTTTGTCCAACGCCGCCACCTTTGCCTTCGGCCACCTCCAACAACATTGCCGGAGGTGGAGGCAGTGGTGGGTGGAGGCAGCAGCAGGTGGTAGCAAACGACAGTGACAGGCGGCGGTGGCGGGTGGTGACGGGCGGCGGCTCTGAAGAATAAAATGGCAAAAGAAGATGATGAACAGTATTTTTGTCCTTTATTGATATTATTTTTAAAAAGTTAACTTATTTTTGAATTTTTTTTTAAATATATTACTTTTATTGATATTAAACCCCAAAAGTTGCCTAAAACACATTCGTATTTGCACTATTGAGCCTGGTATTGTTGAGAAATAAGAATGGCTGATTTTCATGAATCTGATTCATGGAAAATTACCAACATATTTATGTGCACAAATATCTTTTCTAATTGAAAGAGAAAAGGGAAAATGATTTATGATTCTCCTATACATATTGTATGTGAAAGAAACAAGGAATCAAGGAAACTAGTTATGAAACTTCAAGGCTTCTTCAGTTTAGAAGCAAAATGAAACTGCTTAGTGAATTACCCTAGTTAAAGTATGAAATTTGTGTTTAGAAGCAGCATGAATGAGCGACTAGGAGACGGAGGCCATAATTAAACAGATTTGAAGATAGCATGGTTTCAAAACCGGATCAGGCTGGATGGTCGGACCGAAACTGTTTTACCCCAGAACCATTATTTTTCCAAAAAACTGTTGATTTGATCAACAAATTATTGACTCGAATAGTCAAACTGTTCATCAGTTTGGCCGATTTTTATTTTTTAAACGGTTTGAACGGTTTGACCGCCTAGATCAATGGTTTGCTGACCAAATCAACAGTTTTTGGCCAAAAAACAGTTATGGTGTAAAACGAAACCAATTAAGTGACTGATTCCCAGTTTTTCTGATCCAACTGTGCAGTCCGATTTTGAAAACCATGCATTTAAGTATATAATGCATTATGTTAAATATTAACTTTGTTCTCCTTTTTTCATGAACCTCTCATTTGAAATTTTGAAATTGATAATAGTAAAGTTCAGTTTGAAAATAGTACAAATACAAATATATAAAATACAAGGTTTTATATACTACATGTTTATATTTATACTCTTCCCAAACTGAGCCTAAAGAATAAATTAGCCATTCAGCATTAAACTGCAAACCCTTTACTTTATAAGTACTCAAATACCCTCTTCTTTCATTCTCATCCATAAAAAAGAAGAAAAAAAAAAAAAAAAAAAACCTCTTTCATTCATGGAGGCCACATATCCAACTTTTGTCCCTATTCTTCTAATAATTCAGGCATTGGGTTTACATACAATATCAACACGGCCGAAAGCTGGAAAAGCAAGAGAATGCCGCTTCCCACAAAAATTTGATTGCATGATTGCATTTGCATCCGCCCCTTTGAGTGATTAGTTCATAATTAATTTCTCGGTGCATTAATTATTTTCATTGCTGTAGCCTGTATGTGAGTCTCCTCCGTCTCCCAATATGATGATGATAGAATTAATTATATTGTGGAAGTATAACTCTGTGTTTAATTTTTGGCCGCCCCCAAATGCTTTTAGCTGTTTCCTATATGGCAGAGTAATAATATTTTCGCTGCTGCTTGCTTTGATTGATGATGCATAGAAACGATTGAGAAAGGCTCATCACGTCAAATTATTTATAATGGGCCGGAGCCCATAGAATTAATTCACTGCCATGCCATCACTAACGAAACAGCGAAAAGCAAATTAAGTCAGGCAAAGAAAAAAAGAAATAAACCCTCCATCAACTCTCATGTGGATTATCAAAAAAATCAACTCTCAATTGATAATTTGCTTGGTGCCCAACGAAAACACAACACTTTACACTTTTTCAAAAAAAACAAATGACCCCACCCCTGCCAAAAGGAAAAATTATTAGTAGTAATAATAATAGTAAAGAAGTGAGCAAGTAGTATGTGATGAATCCCACCAACAGAACCCTCTTTTCCCATACAGCTCACTATAGTCTATATATAAGGTAGCCTCTTAGGTTGCCTCATGTTCAGTCGGATGGCAATCCTCCCTAATTGGCCCTCTAATCCTTCTCTCTAAGGGTTTGAATCTTGTTCAAGATTTATCCCCGAAACTCCCTCTAAAACTACCTACAAACCCAGTACTGAACCTCTCTCTTAAACCCAATAACCCATCTTCATCAATGGATCCAATGAAGATACAGAAGCTTCACGCCATGAACAAGTACAAGAAGAATCGGTTTCTCATCAACAGCCTTGTCATCTATTCATTCACTGCATTAATATGCATTGCACTTTGCTCTAGCCCCTTGTGGTTTCCCTCTGTTTGTTCTTCCATAAGGTTGTTTCTCTTCGTCTCACTCCCGAAAATTGTGTCTGTCATCCTTGGTCCCAAATGCTTGTTCATTATCTCCAACATTATTGTTGCCTTCCTGGTTGGAGAATCCAAGCTCACGGGCTCATGCGACTCATTACCAGCATCCGACATTTACGACGACTACGTTAAAAGGAACCAAAGCCTTCGACGATCCCCCACCACGGAAGAGAAGAAATCCTGTAGATTTTTGACTGAAGAGACTCTGAAGAGGGTTGAGGAAGATGGGAATGAAGAAGAAGAAGAAGAATATAGAGGCGAGGATTTGAATGGAGAAGAAGGGTATAGCTTGCCCGCTGAGGAATTTAAAAGGAGGGTTGAAGATTTCATCGCAAGGGTCAACAAGCAAAGAAGGCTTGAAGCTCGGGAGATAGTTTGCTGTAGTGCATGAGAGGGAAAAATGAAATGAACACCCTCACCTCGGACACCTCCCTCCACTCCCTCTGGGTCCCAATTCTCATGGAGAAAATGGAGAGAAACACAAAGTAAATAAACCCAGCTATAGAAATAGAAAATGGATTATTATTATTATTATTATTATTATTATTAGTTTGGTTAGGTTCGACGACAGAACCCCTCAAATCCAGTTTTTCTTTGTATGTAAAAGAGATTTGTAGAGATGGTTCTTGTCGTAAAGCTTCCTTCCAATGTTGAATATATGCATATACATGTTCTTCCGTTACACATGCACGATCCAGATACAATGCAGAAAAGTGCATTTAACCAAGTTTTGCCCAGTACAAATTAATGTCCCACGCCAAGTTTATCTACATAAATTCATTTAATAGGTGGGTAGTTTTTGATCTGTTGCTCACTTGCTTGAAGTTATTTCTACCAAGAAAAAAAAAAAAAAAAAGATAAATGAGGAAATCTGACCTTTTCTGCCGAGATACTGGGTAGGAAGGTGGATTAAGTCCGTGCTTTGTTTTCTATTTATTTATTTATTTTTTCTCTTTAATATGGTTATGATGAAGGAGAAACATCGTTATTAATTACTTCCTCTATCTCGTTAATATACAGCATCCAGGAAAAGAAAATAAAATTCGAAATACAAACCCGAATGGCTTTAAAAATATACAGTATCCTGGAAGATGAGACTTTTTTTTAGAAACACAGTGAAAATAGCAATTTCATTCATCAAAAAAAACCCAGGAAATAAGCTGGCAGTTGTAAATCGTAATAAACAACTTTCGACGACTCTTGTATAGTTTTATTATTTGCCCTACACTAAAAGTCTAAGATGACCATAAAAAAGCATGCCGGACTTTATCTTATTATTGTGTATGGTGTTTTGGGTTTTACACAACCAAGCTTAAAGTTTAAACAGAGTTGAGTTGGACTTTATTTCGCTGCTACCATGATCGGACCAATGCGTTAATCGGAAAATTTTCGGTCGCTTTTAAATTATAGGTACAATCGATTTTCAATGGTGGATGATGGATGAATTTAGTCTTCCTTTTTTTTTTAATTTTTAAATTAATGCCCAATGAGATGGCTATAAATCGACCGTTAAAAAAAGGTTCATTTTGAGCGGTGGATGGATCTGAATATTAATTATACGAGTATATATGAACATTTATTTAGTGCTATTTGCTTTTCCACCCAAAAAGATACTCATACTGTTTGCTTAACGACGAAGACATTCCCTCACTCACCTCACGAGTAAGAGAATGAGAATCGCATAGCACAGTTAGAAAACTAAAAGGGCTGGGCTGGCTAGTCGCTGCATCTCGCATGTACTCATGTACTTGTTCGGTTGTTCCTTCCCAACGTCTGAACTCTGAAGTATCTACGGAATCGATCGTGGATCCCAGCCCATGTTCATTATTAGTGCGACGGGCCCTCCCCCTACGCCCCTACGCACTATGCCGTACCGTGGGCCCGATTCAACCCAAAGCATTTTTGCTCTTTCCAACTTCGAAGTGTCGGCCACACCTCGGATGGGGCATAACCCAAAATCTACCGGACAAAGATGGTTGGCGACGATGGAGGTGAGGCCCATCGAGCCTCTTATGGATCCTTTTTTACGAGCACTTGCACTTCACCTCTTATGGACTTTTTGGAAAAGGAAAAGCCCGTCAACTTTGATAAGTGGGAGAGTGTTATTCCCCACTGAGTTTAGGCTGCTTTTTTTTTTTATAACTTATTTTGGGTAAAAGTAAAACCAGTGAGTTTAATTTAGGTATACATGTAAGAAGAATATTTTATTTGTTTCATTTTTCCCTTTACCCTGTGCTTGGCCCCCACCAATCACGGATCATGGATCAATATAATCCGTGAATCCATATGAATCAAATCCCTATCCCCGTTATCTCATCCTATATGAATTTTGAAATTGAAGCCAGCATTGTCGAATTCAATTTGGCAAAATAAACCGGATGGATATCCATCATAATCTCACACGGTCCATTTTCATACGTATTAACTGAATTTTCAGAGCTGTTCTGTGAGAGAACTTGATCGCTGAAGCGAAGCTTTGGTGTTCTAGACTTCCCGTCCGCATTCGCTGGTGGGAGATGGATGCTCAAGCCAGTGAGGAAGTGGTGGAATCCAGAAAGATGCTCGTAAAGAACAACGTGAGAAAGATAGGTCTTTATGCGAAGGTGATATCTGATAAACCTATGAATGTGTCAGGTGTGATTGACCAAATCACAAAAATGTAGTGGTAGATTAAAGGACAAATGCAGATAGAGAAAGTTAGTGATGATTTATTATGGATTTCCTTTGCCAGGGAAAAGGATATGAAGCATGTTTTAAGGGATGAACCATGGACTATGAAGGATTATCCTCTGCTGCTAAAAAACTATACTGATGAAGCCATTATTTCGGAGGTGAGCATGGATACAATGGACACATTTGGGTTCGTGTTACAAATGTGCCAATAGCCTATAGAACAAAGGAAATGGGGATACTACTGGCTCAGGCTGCAGGAGACATAGTGGACCGAAAACCAGAAGAAGAAAAGAGAAGGTAGAATGGAACAAGGGGTTGAGAATGAGAGTTAAGATTGATGTTAAAAAACCCTTGGTGACTGGGTCAAAAGGAGTGCTTGAGAACGGAGAGGAGAGATGGTTTTCATTTCAATATGAAAATTTCCCAATCTTTTGTTTTAGGTGTGGTTCGTTGGGTCATCTGGAAAGGAACTGAAATACATACAAAGATGATAAACAGACAATAGAGAATCTGGCTGCAAGACTAGGGAAGCAGAAAATGGAGACAGCGAAGGAGATAACAGGATATGAGTCATGAATGAGAGCCCTCTGCTGGAACTGTCAAGGGTTAGATTCCCCTTTGACGGTTCGGTCAGTGAAAGAGAATTAGAGGAAGACTAAGGTGGAAATAGTGTTCTTGAGTGAAACGAAGTGCAGTCTCTTATCTTGCAGGAAAAAGTTTTAAATGCTAGAGAGATTAGAACTGCTGGGGAGTTGATTCAGTTGGACTGGATGAGGGATTAGCTTTTTTCTGGATAAAAATGTGAGTTTATGGATTTTGACAGCGGACAAAAACGTGATTCTTGCAAAAATTGAGGAAGTAGATAATGACAAAGTGTGGTATTGCACTTTTGTTTATGGGGAGCCTGAAAAAAACAAAAGGAGTTCGTTTATAGAGAAGATTAGCTGGATCTCAAAAAAAAAAAAAATGATGAAGCTTAGTGCTGCATAGGGGACTTTCCCATAATTCTTTAAGGGGGATAGAAATGCAAAATTCTTTCATAATTCAACTATTAAGAAAAATAGAATATTGAAATTAAAGGATGAGAATAGTGAGTAGATGAAAGGGCAAGAAAGTATAAGGAACATTAATAAATCATTTTAAAAAGATCTATACTTCTTCTAACCCTTTAGGTATAGATGTGGCCCTTTTAGGAATTCAACCATTAATTAATGAAGAAAGAAATGAGGAGCTTCAAAAGGATGTAACAGAGGAAGAAATCAAGGAGGCATTATTTTAGATGGCTACAAGAAGTTTCCAAGACCATATGATTTTCCAAATTTTTTCTTCTATTCATTTTGGGAGGTTGTCAAAGAGGATGTAGTGAAAGAAGTGAAAGATTTTTTTATTATGGAAGAATTAAACAGGAAAATCAATCACACCTTCATACCCCTAATCCCAAAAGCAAAAAACCTTGAAGATGCGTCACAATTCAGACCTATAAGCTTATGCAGTACTGTCTATAAAATCATTGCTAAAATTTTGGCAAATAGACTAAAATCAGTCCTAAATGAAATCATTTCAGAAAATCAAAGTGCTTTTATTCCATGAAGGGCTATTTCTGACAACATTCTAATAGTCCATGAGGTAAAGTACTTCATGGCCCATGCTAAAGTTAAGAATGGTTTTGTGCTAGTGAAATTAGACATGAGAAAAGATTATGATAGAGTGGAATGGAATTTTCTAAAATCAATTGTGAAAAAAATGGGCTTTGGGAGCAAATCGATCTATTAGGTAATGAATTGTGTATCTATAGTATCTTACCAGATACTAGTGAATGGCTCTCCTTCAAAAAGAATCTTTCCCCAAAGAGGTCATAGACAAGGGGATCCACTCTCTCCTTACCTATTTTTATTGTGATTTGATGTTTTCTCCTCTATTCTAAAGCAAAAGGCTGCCCAAAATGAGATTTTTGGAATTAAAATCTGCAATTTAGCCCCAACTATCTCTCATTTGTTTTTTGCAAATGACAACTATATTTTCTCTAAGACAAATATTAAGGAAGCAAGTGTTCTACTGGAGGCCATCTCCCTCTTTGAAAGAGCCTTTAGGCAACAGGTGAATTATCAAAAGTCAAAAGTTTTCTTTAGTCATAATTTGCACTACATATTCAAAAAGATGGTCTCAAAGTGTCTAAATATAAAATAAGTAGAAAAGTCATCAGTGTACAATGATAGGAAGAAAACTCAATTGTTTGAGTGCTTAGCTAAGTGAATGACGAATAGAGCTTGTGGATGGAGAGGTTCCCTCCTGTCCTAGGTAAGAAAGGAGGTTCTTCTGAAGTTAGTTCTTACAGCTATCTCAACCTACTACATGTCCTGATTTCTAATTGCAAAGAGTGTTTGTAATGCAATGGAGAAAATTCAAAAGAAATTCTGGTGGGGAGATAGGGAAGATAGGAGGGAAATAAGATGGGTCGGTTGGAAACAGATAAGTAATAATAAGTCAAATGGAGGGATAGGGTTCAGAGAGCCAGGCCCATTCAATTTAGATTTGTTGGCTAAGCTTGCTTGAAGACTGTGTTTTGATACAACAAGTCTGTGAATCTTAAAGGCTAAGTACTGCCTTGAAACAAACTTCATCCGGGCAACCCAAAGAAATGGGTCTGGAGGAGTATTCTAGAGGGAATAAAAGTTTAAAAAAAGGAATGTGCTCGAAAGTAGGCAATGGGATGGAAATAAAGGTCTGGGGTGATCATTGGATTCTGGGCCAGGAGGGATTTACTCCAATGGGTCTCCTGCCCCCAACGTTAGCTCAAAAGGTCTTTGAGCTGCATATTCCTTCTAATACTTGGAATGACAAAATCATTTGGATGGGTAGTAAAAATGGG